TGATCCCCTTCTCTCTTAACAAAGATATTATGATCACTCTAACGCTATTTGAAATCAACTATTTGATTGCATTATTAAATCTATCGAACAAAGCCCTTGGAGATTATTTTAGACCATACAATGACTTCTTGAGGCAACAAACCTCAACTTCTATTTTCTCTAAAGTAAAACCCAAAATTTGAACCATATAAACCTCTTCCTCGACGTCACCATTTAGGAAGGCATTCTTGACATCTAATTAGTGCAATCCCTAATAAAAAATTGCAACAAGGGAAAGGACACGAATGGAGTTTAGTTTGGCAACTGAAGCAAACATTTCTATGTAGTCAACTCCACATGTCTATGAAAATCCCTTGGCTACTAACTTTGCCTTATATATTTCCATTAAGTTATCATTATGATGCTTAATAGTAAGCACCCACTTACATCCTATGGGTTTTTTACCCTTATGAAGATCCACCAAATCCCATGTGCAATTCTTATGAAGAGCATCAAGTGCCTCTAGCATAGAATTTTCTACTTAGGAGAATTCAAGGCCTTTGCAATAGACTTAGGAATAGACACACTAAAAATAGAAAAAAGAAAATAACGGTAAGAACATAAGTTGCTTCAAGTGGTGAAATGACTAATGGAATGCTTAGGAGTGCATGAATAGGTACCTTTCTGAACAACTATAGGAAGATCAAGATCAAAATTTAGATTATAATAGAGACTTTACCAGATTCAATAGGGAATGCACTACTCTTTAGGTTTTCCTCCTGAGAATCAGTAGGTACAGGGGGAACACTCTTAAGTTCCTCTCCATCTGGTGATGTATGCTGATCCAAATGATAGAAATGAGATCTATAGAAAGAGCAAACATGATGAATAGGAGCACAAACAAGAGAACGAGAACAACATGGAGCAACAAAGGGAACTAAAGACTCGGGTGAAAAGAGGAACAAGAATCTATTGCTTCTCCTCCAAGGTACTATTTTCCCCTAAAGAAAAGTAATAAAGAATGGTTGATGCTCAATGAAAGTCACAACCATGGAGATGAAGGTGTGATGAGTAGAGGGATCATAACATTAATATCCCTTTTGAGTGGTAAGATATTCCATTAAAATGCAAGGAATATAATGCGGATCAAATTTACCATGGGACGGGGATAAATCCTAGACAAAACACTAACATCCAAAAGTACGAAAAGGGATAGAAAATAGTGAAGGACTAAGGAAACAAGAGCTGGTGTGGGGCCATGAACTTGAGAACATGAGTAGGCATATGGTTTATAAGAAATGCAGCGATCAACACAACATCAATCCAAAATCACTTAGACACATGCATATGCAATATCAAACTATGGGCTGCTTTAAGTAGATGTTTGTTCTTCCTCTCAACAGTATCATTCTATTGTAGGGTCTTGGGGAAAGTACTCAGATGAATGTATCGTGCTAGGAAAAAAATTGATTTTGTTATCTCTAAAATATTCCCAAGCATTATCTGAATGAAATCTTTGCACTTCCACATTAAATTGAGTGAATATCATTTTTTGGAAGTCTTATATTATATTTGGAACTTCATCTCATTAACAAAGTAAATGGATCCTAGTGTATCTTGAGAAATCATGAGTGAAACTAATGAAATGTCTATAACCACCTTTAGCAATAATAGTAGTAGGGCCCCACACATTAAAGTAAACAATTTGCGATGGAAATTCAATAATTTTATTTCTTGGGAGAAACTTGTTCTACAATGTTTCCTTAAAGGACAAGTTGGACACTAAAGTGAAGACAAAGACACTGACTTAATAACATTGGAAACAAAACTCTCAAAGATAGAAAAGATAAATGTCCCAAGCGGTATTGTATTACTTGATTTTAGGGCATCAACATTATCCAGAGTGTAGAGACCATCAACCACACGATCCTTACCAATCATTCTCCTAGAAATCAAATCTTGGAAAACATAGAAGTCCATTCTGGAATGGTACAGTACCTTGGCTAGTAATGATGGTGTAAAAATCATCAACTAGCTTAACTTTGCCTTTTCCTTTAAATAAATGATATGTTAAAAGCAAATTAGGCTTACTAGTCATGTGGTTGGTTGTCCTAGAATCAATGATCCAAAAGTTAGAGGATAAAGAAGAAACATGAAATGTAGAGGCCTAGTTACCTAAAGTGGACACATGTGAAGTAGGAGTGATAAAGGTCTCCTCAAGTTGATAGAGAGTCCTACAATATTCTTCCAACTAATCACATAAGGTATTTAGTAATCCCTCTTAAGGTTAGAACCTATAGAGACACCCTCATGAGATGAACCACTAGAAACAACATTAGTTGAGCTTGAATATTTTTTAGAATGTTGTGGTTGCTTCTTTTGAAAAGGCTGAAAATTCTTCGGCTTCCTAACAAGATTCCAACATGTTTGTTTAGTATGTTTGGGTTTACCATAGTGACTACATCTTATCTTTGTCAACTTCCTTGGTTTTCTTCATCCTAGGACCACCATTTTTATTTCCACCACCTCCCTTGGCAAAGAGAGTAACCTACTACTCCCCCTCTAGAAGATTCATGGCTACCATCCTACTCTCCTTAAATTGAACAAAAGAGTACACTTTATGAAGTGATGGGAGTTTCTTACTCCCTAAAATTTGAACCGGAATGGGCTCATAACTAGAGTTAAGACCAGCTTAGAAGGTAAATAGTCATTGTTGATTCACAAGCCTTTTATACTATCTTGCATCTAATTCATTCTTATCATACCTCACCACCATGCTCAAAGACCCAAAAAACCTTTGTATGTCAAATTTCATGACCTAATACATTTGTTTGACCATTAAACTAAAAAGATTTCATTTCTATGTACCATATTAAATCACCACTTCATTTGTTCCAACTTAAGACCTCAAAACAGTGGAGCTTGATGTCAGTCCCATACTTGACCTATTCAAACACCTGAACCAATAAAACTAATCATAGTGGACTTAAGAAACCCAGAAACCCAAAGATACCCCTTCTTAAAGCTAAGAAAAGATAAAATAGCATTTATGAATGAGTCAAATTTACGTTTTATGCCATTGGGAGCCCCAAATATGACTAGAATGACAATCATGCCCTAGACTATCATTGGACACATAAAAATAATAGAAATACATCCTAAATTGAGGAAAAATGTTGCACCAAGAAGTAAAGGTTCACTACATATATTTTTCTTTAAAAATCTTTGGCCATTTTCAAGAAAACACTCTCTTGAAACCCAAGCTCTTTGGTTGGGTGAGATTCAGGTTTTCCTTTCTTTCTCTATAAATAAAGGCCCAACGCAAGCCCAAAAGAAAGAAGGGAGATCCTAGAAGCATTCTTATACTCTATAGAGATCATATTTACAAGAAATCCCTAAGCATTTGAGCCTTAAAACTTTAAATCCAACCATTGTGTTTCAAAAAAAAAAAAACTCTTCAAGCTTTAACAGTTTTTAGACTTTTCTTGACATTAAAGGCCAATTAAAAGCACTTCCCTAGCTCAACAACTCATACAAACATTACTTCAACCCATTTCAATGGTAGAAAACCTTTGTCAAGGTTACGCATGAGAAGTGAGCCTCTCACTCCATCATTTAGTTCAAGTTTGTGATCCCTATTATTTTTAGTTTAGTTCCAGGTGTTTGAAGTTCTGAAATCTTGGAAAACTTGCATTCCCAACTACTTTAGAATTAGGATAAAGAGGTAGAGAATCTAGGGCCTTAGGGAAATTAATACCAAAGACTTGATAACATTTCCTAAAACTAGTTTCAAGAGAAGTTAAAAGCATTTTTACAAGATTTTAGGAATTCTTAGCAATCTTTTTATTGATAGAGTACAATTCTCTTGGAAAAATGGAGTCACTATTTTAAAGATAAATCAAAATTTCAATGTTGTTACAAAGGGCCCATTTCCTCTAAATGATGGGAGGCAACTCCTCATTTGAACCATCCATGAACTTCTCGAAGCTCAGAGTTGATGACTCCACTAGGGATCAAGGTTTCAAATATCAATACACCGGATACGCCGATAGGGGCGTATCGGGTGAATTGATTCTTTTTTTTTTTTACTTTTTTTTTTGAAACCGGTTCAGGGGACCAATTTAGGGCTCCTCCACCCCTTGAACCGGTCAGACCCCCAATACACCCACTATAAGGGCGTATCGAAAGGGTCCCGGAACGATACATATTGGTCGATACGGACCAATATGTGTCAATACTTTGAACCTTGGTAGGAATGATGCTTATTAGGTGCAATTTTACGTTAAGCATTGTGAGCAATTAAGGTTCAAACTTAGAAAGTTAAAGGTTGCTAGTTTTGCGATTTGAAGTTGCATCTCAATGATACATAGTGCAATTAGACCTTTCCAGCACAGGTTGAAATCTCATCTCAGCAATACTTAGTGTAGTTACACCCCTCCAACGTAGGTTGAAATCAGATTAACAATACTTAGCATAGTTAGACCCTTCCAACGCAATTTGAAATGGCATCCCAATGATACTTAGCATAATTAGACCCTTTCACCATATGTTGAAATCACATCTCAAAAATACTTGGTGCAGTTAGACCTTCCCAGCGCAAGTTGAAATCGCATCTAATGATTTCCCAACAGTGCACCCTACATTTATCGCACCCTTCAAGCCCCACAATCCCCTTATTTTGGTTTTTTGGGCCTTAGTTCCTTTCCCCCCTCATTTTCCTTTGGTGAATCTTTTGCAAAAGAAATTGCAAAATTGTAATGAAGAAAACAGATTTTACATTTGTATTCAAGTGGACTTTTGATTAAAAAAAAAAGGATATGCTTTATTGAAATTTGTTTACATCCATTACAACTAAAAATAAAATTTGTTTGGTAAAAAGGTAAATTTGTCGGTGCAAAATTAACCCATATAGACCGTTTTACACTACAGATTTGCAATTACACTTACTTGCATCATCTCCAAACGTAGCCTTAAGCATTTCATTGACTATATTTCTATGAATGAGATGAAAGGCATTCATGTATGGTCCAATATTAAAAACCTACCGAATGAATGTATGTTGTCAAGAAGGAAACATCATCAAATGGTCGCAGAAAATGGCAAAGATCAAAGTAGGAGTACAAATTAGAATTGAATGTACTTCTCACCAATAGCACAAGCAATGGCTTTGCTGATACTGTTGGAAAAGAAAGAGACCTTGTTTGGTCTTATTTGAAAAAAATAGTTTTATCTGGGCTCTACTGCAGACACCTCTAACAGCCGCAAACAGAAAGACAGGAATTGCTTGAAAAAGAAAAGAAAACATTAAGATGCGGTGGATTCTTTGAGAAATGCAATTAGATCTGCCCGTTCTTGTGGCTTCTTCAGTCCAGGGAAAACCATCTTTGTTCCAGGGATGTACTGCATAAAACAATTTGACGGACAGCCATCAGTTCATGTAAAAGAATAAGAGCTTTCTGAAGTGAAATCCGTTGTTCACTTTTATGCTCTACCATCAATCACAATAAGGTGAGCTTAGGTAGGGTAAAGAAAATGTGCTACTTTTTTGCTATGAAGCATACTAACCCACGCAACAATGCCATACTACTGGTATTTTCAGAATAACTAAAAAGAAAGCATCTGTATCATGGAATGTGAAAGTGAAATCAGCCAAATCCATACCTTCTTGGGGTTAAGCAAGTAGTCGTACAACGTTTTCTCTTCCCAAATCACAGCCATGTTCTTGTTAGCAGCAGAATATGAGTAACCAGGGGTTGTGCCAGACTGCCTTCCAAAAAGACCATTCAGATTGGGTCCTACATATTGCACAGAGCATAGTCAAGAAGAGAATTCGTAGAATTTGACAAGGATAAAATGTAACACAGTCTCATCTGGCAATTTAAGATGAGAACAAAAAAGTTAACCAATTTGAAATTAATTCAAATTCAAATGGGCTTCTGTGCTCTTAGTTTTCAGGATGGAAATTGCCACAACTTGACATCACAAACCAAGTTCGCAGGCAAACGTGCAGTCTTTCATTTAAGACTTAGACGGGTATTGATTAGCAAAGATAACCCCTGCTGCAGGCAGATCTACTTATTCCATGATTAACGTGTATTTTTAACAAGGTTAAGATTGACGATAATTTTATCTACAGACACTCATGGAATTGGTGAAAAATTGGTGCTGTACATCTGAACTCTGAAGTCAGTGCACAATGATGAATTATTCCACTCGAACAGTAATTAGACAATGAGCTAAATCTGTCAGAACAGAACCTTATGCCACCCTCCCCTCAATTAGTCCCCAAGTTATCGCTCACTTTTTACCAGAGACAGGTTCTTAAAGGAACATATTTACATTCCTTATGGAAAAATAATAATTGGAAAGTGCACTGTAACTCTGTAAGAAGGCCAATATAGTATACAATGGTAAAGGCAAGAACAAGTACAGTCAAATGAAATCCCGTTTCAGTGGAGACAGAAAGCAATAAGCATATGAAACAAGTACAATCAAATGTATCTCACATTCCCACTACACTACGTATATTCCTTTTTCTTGTTGAGATGGAATGATGGACGCCATGTAATCTCCCTTATGCAGCTCTCTTTTGTTTTCTCTCGTCCAAGGTCCAACACCCCTAATATAGCTACAAATACTACATTACTGAAAAGGGATCTCTACTTTGGTAAAATTCGACCTCTAAATGGTGGGCACACATCATCTATGTGCAAAGATCCCTTCAGAACCTGAAAATATTGCTTTTAATGAATACCAGTTTTGCCTCACCCACCTTGGCCTAAAGCTGTTACCCACCCAGTTCCATTTCATTGCATCCATCCAGGATCAATCTGAAAGTTTCCCCTGTTTTGCTCAACTTGACAAAAAATATTGTGAATGTATTTCTCTTATGCAGCTGCTCTCTTTTGTTTTCTCTCGTCCAAGGTCCAACACCCCTAATATAGCTACAAATACTACATTACTGAAAAGGGATCTCTACTTTGGTGAAATTCGACCTTTAAATGGTGGGCACACATCATCTGTGTGCAAAGATCCCTTGAGAACCTGAAAATATTGCTTTTAATGAAATATCAGTTTTGCCTCACCCACCTTGGCCTAAAGCTGTTAACCCACCCAGTTCCATTTCATTGCATCCATCCAGGATCAATCTGAAAGTTTCCCCTGTTTTGCTCAATTTGACAAAAAAATATTGTGAATGTCATTGCCTAGTAAAAGCACAAGCTGAGAGGTTGTTCAAAAGGTTCAGCTGAACAGTCAAACCAAGAATATCGTTCCGGAGCACAACAAAAGAAGACTTCTGGCAGCTGCGAAGAGATTTGAGGATTTTCTGGAAAATCTAGAAGTGGTGGAGGACTTTTATGGATCACTGGAAGGTTGAGCTTCAATGCAATACTTCAAGATAGTGGAGTCAACCATTTTGTGATCTGGTATTTTTGGTGATGGGAGGAAGCAATTGCTGATAATGAAGGCAGTTTGTACAGGATTTCAGATTAAAAGGAGAGAGAGAGAGAGAGTAGAGAAAATGACGAGAGCCCCCCTTTTTAAAGAAGGATCTTGGATCACACATCATCCAGAAAGAGATGTAGATTCCATTAGGTAGAGTGGAAATTTGTCTAGACAATCAAACTTCAGTTTTCCATTCAAGATTTGGATTCTGCACATGCTAGGGTTGGATTTCAAATTCTAATTTGAGCCTAGTAGCACTTGCCTAAATAGAGATCATCACAGAACTAAGGTCACCAAATTAAAATTATATAGTACAAAACGAAGATATGCTAGAAATCGACATTAAGCAGAAATAAAAAAAGCACAAATACTAAACATGAGATTTTTAAATCCCATTCCATAACTTCATCTCCTTCTACCTACCGGGTAGCAAGCACCCCAAAGATTTAACTATCTTACAAACACAGAAGATATTTAAATCACTAAAAATGTTTCTCTATAAAACCTTCGTTGCCTAGAAAAAAGTTGTGGAAAGGGAGAAAATAACACACGGAACTAATCTGCATCAAATAAGAATATTAAATATAACCAAGGAGGTAAAACATACACGAATCTCCTCCATTAAGGCGAATAGCAAATAACTCGACCCAGCTCCAAACTTGTATGGAGCGGTCAAAATCATCTCTATAAAAGAAATTCTCGAATAAGAAGTTCAAAACTAAAGATGAATTGACATGAAAGTCAGTTTGACCAAGTAGTCCCAACATAAAGTTATCATGTCATAGAATCATACAAAAATATCAATATATAGATTAATCACAAATCCAGAAAGTCAAATGAAATTAATCAGAAAAATCGACAAAAGGAAATTAATTTATCTGTAATCAAACCAACATTTTTGGAAAGACAAATAAGGACACAACAAATCGTAAACAAGATGGGAACGAGAGACAGATCAAATAAATTCACCGCTTCTGAGCAGATCGCATTAATAAAAATAGAATTGCTCCTTATCTCAATCAATCAAAACCAAATAGCAAGAAGTTCAGCCATCAAACAAGATCAGAAAAATCAGACAACCGTGCTCCTCTTCTTCCGAAGGGAAGAAACAATAAAATAAAGAATAACCAGAGAAATAGAATCAGATCAGAATAGATCAAGAAATCTTACCTTGCTTGTGTCCAGCCCCCTTGTCGACAGTGTGACACTGAGCGCACTTGGTCTTGAAAATCTTCTCTCCTGACTTGGAATCGCCGGGTGGAGCTTCGCTAAATGTCGCCATTCCTCACAAACTCTGGGGAAAGGAAATTAGAGTTTCTAGTTCGTAGTTTTGAAGAGAACAAATGAGACCGAAGAGCAGACCCTTTAGGGTTTCACCGACCTCTCTCTTCTCTCTTTCTCTGACAAAAAGCGCCTTCACAGAAGCTACGAGAATATTTAAAATGAAAAAAAAAATAGTCGAATTTATTCTCACGCAAGGCGGTGCCACGAGTTTCACGAGCTAAATGACATAAATATCCCTGTAATTTTGCGGTCAAAGGTAGAACTTTCTGGCTAAATAACAAAAGTACTCAGCCACTACTCAGAAAGGCGATCTTTCTAGAAGGTGGCTGTTTTGACTTTTCGCATCTCATTTCCTTTCTCGAGGGAAATGGGTACGCGTGGTCAGAATCTTGTGGCGGAAGATTCGAGTTCTGTGGTGGATGACTGAATATTTCTTAGCGTTGCAAGGTTGATGAATCACAAAAGGTTTCAACGTTCAACGTTCATCAATCACACTTCACAGACGGTCTAGTCGAATCGATCTAGACCGTCTAACTCGTGGGTCAGCATCTGGTTTCGCCATCATTAGAGATGTATGAAGTTGTTGTATGCTAACATGGTCTTAAACGGAGATCACTTTGGCTGATCTTTTTTAAGTTAGAAACCGTTGGATTGAAACCTTCATGGAAATACACATAGCTGAACAAATGCGGTTCAACCACCCACAAAAGATAAAAACACACACAAAAAAAAAAGTGTGAATAGGTGGCAAGAATTCCGAGCCCTAATTCGTCCTTGACTGCACAACGGCGGGCAATAAATCCAGCATTCCGGCAGGTACCATACTCTCCTTACTCTTCTTATATTATTTTTTCACACCGGAATCCACTTAAATTGGGTGTCTTTCGCTGTTTCCACTTATATACTCACATTTTCTTATACTTTGTCATATACTCTTATACTTTCTTACTTCCTAGTCCTTAATTCTCAACTTTATTCAAGCTTCAACATTAAAAAGGCTTATTCAAGTGTCTCAAGTTACGGCTTAGAAATTTCATGAATTGAAATCAAATTGGAATACTTGATTGACAAACCAGATAATGGTAATTATTTTTTATTTTTTATTAAACTTAGGGTTTTAATATTTCAAATTTATTAAAATGGTCAATCCTTCTCAAAATCCCTTTCCCTCTTATAATTTTGTTGATGTTTAAGTCACTGTATGATAGCACTAAAGTTGGTGTCTATGATAATGTTGTTGTTCAAGTCACTCCTAATACTAGTGTTAGGGGTGGTAAGAGAAAGACTACTGATCTTTGGATGATTTTTAATATGTAAGAAATTGAGGGAAAGGGAAATGAGTAGCATGCAAAAAAATGTAGAAGTGGCTTTAGCTATAGTAGCATGATGTGGGGTGGCCCAATTCAGCCCATTCTAGGCTGGGACGCCCAACCCATGAATGCCAGAACAAGGGACGCGACTCGCCACAATAGGGGCTACCTGCACCCCTCTATTGAGCCAATCGCGAAGCGCCCACGCATCCCCACAGAGCTCGCTAACTGCCCTCATGTGGCCCCCATCTCAGGTATTCATCTCCACCAACCTCCAGGCGCCTCAAGTATAAATAGGGGCTACCCCCCTTCCAGGTGAGGGATCCTGATCTTAAAATTTGATCCTATTACAGAACTTAAGTGCACTCACTTTGGGAATTCAGTGCCAATGAGTAGCCTCCTCAGAGCCCTCATCTGTACTTAATTACCCTCTTCGTACCCTCGTATTGACTTGACCATCAGAGTCTCCGCCTTGGGTTCTCACCCGAGGCCTCTAACATCCTCTACCTTACAGCACCTCAGCTACCAACCCTCGGCTTCTATGGAACTCGGTACACGATCAGCCCCGGCCTGTAGTCCTCGGCCTTAGCACCTCATCTCCGAATCCTCGAAGCCTTTGGCCCACTTCTAGAGCCCAAGGGCAAAATTACATTGTTGTCTTCGGCCAATCTGAGCATCAACAATTAGCATCGTTTGTGGGAACCGTTGCTAAGACGATCCCCTAAAGAACTGTAACAAATTAAGAAGTCCCTAAGCTCCAATCACTAAAGGGATGGGATATCCATGACATGGATGGCCAAACCATAGTACCCTATAGGAAGGTTGGGCAAAATTTTAAAAATTTCTTTACTCCCATCCGGTAATTGTATTCCCAATTTAGAAAACTACATTTTCAAGGTTTGTTCTTGTAACCAAACTAGACCAAATCTGAAACCAAGATTAGGGAGAGGTAAACCTGATACGGAATCCATGCAAAAAGCTCCTCCCAACGCAGGTGTTCACGCCCAAAGAGAGTACCAAATCCTCCCTCCATTGAAGATGACACAACTTAGGATGATGCAGGATCAATAGGTAGTTCTTCTCTAAGAACCTCTGATTCTTCAGCAAGAATCGAATGGGGTAGTGAGAACAGGTTCAGAATTGTTTCTTCTATCAAGAAACAATATCAAGATCAAATCTTGATCAGTTCCAAAAAATAGAGATCGAACAGGGTAGGGTGGCAAGAGTAGAGAGAAAACTAGAGGCAGAAACATTCAAACTGTGTTGTTTTTTCAAGTCCGCCTTGCTCTTTATATATATATAACCCTTAAAGAGATGATCTCCTAATCCGATTAGGAATTTCTTGATCCAAATCTTTATATGGATCTAAACACTTTAAGTTGATAAGAGTTATCCTCTTATCCTCATCTGCTAATCCATACCTAGATTTGCCCCTAATTAATTAATCCAATTAACCCAGTTTGAAATGGGCTTAAAGCTCATTAAGCTTTCAGGCTCACTTCCAATTAATGTTGGCTAGCTTAGCTCTCTTTGTGTGGCGTGGGACCCTGTCATTGATCTACACATCAGCCACATGGGTTCAACCCATCCTTAGTTACAACGCCTGTCCGAATTCACTATAGGACATAGTGAACCTCTGAGTCCATCACCATGGGCTCTTAATGGGCCCAACATTTACACTAAATGGTCCTTGGGTACAGCCAACTTATGAAGGCCCAAGGACTATAGGCAGATGTAAAATTAGCCCATTAGGTATAACCCTCAATGGTCTTACACTTAACCTCTCAGCCCTTAATGATCAAACACTGCCCGACAAAAGATGACCTCTCCCTCGGCTGCAAAGTATAGTGATGCACTCTCTACTCACATAGATCCCAGGAATTAAAACCTTTTGCAAACAATTTGAAAGCATAATATATAAGTATATCTCTATATAAATATATTTTGCAAAACCAAATTTCAAACACATTTGAAATCCATTGCCGACAATTTAGGTTTCCATCAGAGAGAGTGCATTTCCCCAATTGTTCACTTTGTCCAACAAAAGGGCTGATCATGCCACTATGATCACCCACTCAAGTGAATTCTTGAACTACCCCAACATACCTAGGTTTTGACCCCTGTTAAGGATCTCACTGGTTAGTATATCAAAGATAGCCCAATCTGACACCTAGTACTATACCATAATTGAGTCTAAGGGTCAGGTGTAACATTCTAGTTTTGCCCATCTATCTCCAAGGTTCAGGGCAACACTAGAATTTGGTCTGATTCAGGGTTTTAAGAAAACCCACACTACATGTACCTCAAGTCTCACCCTGGCAGCTGAAACAAGCCACCCCAACCAACTTGAAGGCACATTAGTGTTAGCCTTGGTAGGATAAATCTCCCTAAATCTATCTAACGATTATGAAGAATTTAAACTAATACAAGTCTCATATGTGTCCAGTTTAAGGGTATTACATAGAAACACACCATAATAACATGAACCAAATATGTACTTTATTTATTTATAATAAATGTCATAATATACATCAAGTTGATTGGAGCTAAGGGCATACATTGTCTAACAACTCCCACTTGCACTTGGGTCCAATTGGGTATAAGCCAGAGTCTCATACTTTCTACGTGTTTCTCAAACACTTTCTATGTCAGTGGCTTAGTCAATGGGTCTGCCACATTCTTTACTGACTGGCAGTCGAACTGGCACACTCCATCGTGTAGATGTAACTAGATGTAGACATTCTACTATCTGGATCTGACTAGCAGTCGGTATCAATATACCCAATGATCTACAATAAACTACCATTGAATACTAGACAAAATTCTATTGTACTTTGAAGGTATTTTAGGATGTGTTTCACAGCTGTCCAGTGCTCCTACCCTAGGTTAAATTTGTATCTATTTACCACATTCACTGCTTGAGCAATGTTGGGCCGAGAACATGGCATACTTGATGCTCCCTATGGCTGAAGCATAGGGAGTCTCTCTCATGCCCTCAATCTTCTAGGGAGTCTTAGGAGACATGCCCATAGAGAGAGTGACTTCGTGCCTGAAAGTAGCATTTTCTTTCTTGGAGTTCTCCATACTATATCTCTTGACAATCTTGTCAATGTAAGCAGATTAGGATAATCCTATTATCCTCTTCGATCTATCTCTATAGAGTCAAATACCCAAGATGTAGGAGGCTTCTCCAAGATCTTTCATAAAGAACTGTTGTGAAAGCCATATTTTCACCTATATCCATTCCCAATGACTAGGATGTCATCTACATACAGAACTAGGAACGTAACCTTATCTCCTATTGTCTTCCTATAAACACAAGGCTCATTCGAATTCTTCTCAAAGTCAAACTGTTTGATGGTAGAGTCAAATCGGATGTTCCAACTCCTAGAAGTTTGCTTAAGTCCATATATAGATCGATTAAGTTTACATACCATGTGTTCCTGACCTGTATTTATAAAACCTTGTGGTTGATGCATATAGATATCTTTAGTAAGATCTTCATTCAAGAACGCGGTTTTGACATCCATTTGACAAATATCGTAATCATGGTATGTTGCTACAGCTAGTAAAATCCTTATAGATTTAAGCATGGCCACAGGCGAAAAGGTTTTATCATAGTCAATTCCCTTTTTTTGAGTGTATCCTTTCACCACAAGACGAGCCTTGTAGGTTTCAACCTTACCATTGGGGTCTTTCTTCCTCTTATAGATCCATTTGCAACTAATTGGTTTTACCCCAAGGGGCGGATCTACTAGAGTCCATACTCCATTGGTTTCCATTGAGTCCATCTCAGCTCTCATGGCATCAATCTACTTCTAGGTTGGTT